ACAATGAAAAGCGGCTGTGTCCGGAGCCAGGGTGCTCACACAGCCAGGCACGCGGCCAGCAGTGCAGCGGGAACAGTGGCGCTGCTCATCAGGACTGCTGCTGATGCTGATGCGTCGTTCATCAGGACTGCTGCTGATGCGTTGTTCATCAGGACTGCTGCTGATGCGTCGTTCATCAGGACTGCTGCTGATGCGTTGTTCATCAGGACTGCTGCTGATGCTGATGCGTTGTTCATCAGCTGCTGCTGATGCGTTGTTCATCAGGACTGCTGCTGATGCGTTGTTCATCAGGACTGCTGCTGATGCTGATGCGTTGTTCATAAGGACTGATGCTGATGCGTTGTTCATCAGGACTGCTGCTGATGCGTTGTTCATCAGCTGCTGCTGATGCGTTGTTCATCAGGACTGCTGCTGATGCTGATGCGTTGTTCATAAGGACTGCTGCTGATGCTGATGCGTTGTTCATCAGCTGCTGCTGCTATAAATGAGCAGCCTGGCATGTAGGTTTATAAAGTCGTGTATAAAGAGCAGGCTAGTGTTATTTCCCGTCTCATGTAAAGAACGTAGCAAGTTGATAAATGGTCAAATATCACGGGTGAAATTTACGAAAAATACATGTATGGTTTAAAATAAAATAAATTAAAGTGTAAAATACAATGTTGAATGTTTACAGGATAACATTCTGAGACAAGTGTATGCATATACGTTCACAAGAAAAGTTGACATTTCTGCTAAACGTTTAAATTGTACCCTTGATTTGGGTACCACTTACTAAGAGGCGAGAACTTTATAAGCCTGTGTGTGTATATACACACACACGTGTGTGTCTTGAGTCGAGTTAGAAGCCGCATTCCTATGGATGAGAGGGAGGAGGATGAGGAGCGAGCGAGGCTATGCCGTCCCAGCGGAGTGATGATGCCGTGGCAGCAGAGTCTCTCCGTGCGACTCGACGCCTTCCATCGGCAGCACTGCGCCCCGTGACCCCAACTGCCGTGCGGGGCAGCGCGCGACATCGCCCGGGCGGTCTCCACAGTCCTGCAGGAGGTCGGAGCCAGGGAGCCTCGCTTGATCATCTCACCGGGCGAACATCACCCCCATCGTAGCCCTCATCAGCTGGCCGTGGATGCTTGCGGTGGGCTTCTGCCGGTGACCGACGGGGCGCCCCCCTCTTCCGAGTTCGAGATGCTGCTCTACCTGAACCTGCAGACCTCCTCGGAGGTCTTCAGCCTCGCGGACGAAGATGACGAGGGCGGCGGCCGGGCGTTGCTCAAGCTGGCGGACGGGCGCGAGAGGAGCATGTCGCCGTGGGTGGAGTTCATCACGGCGTCGGGGAGCCTGTCGGCGAGCAAGCTGCGCTCCCGCCTGCGCGCGGCACTGGGCAGGTGCCTCCCGTGCGGCCGGGACGACGTGCGCCTCGTGCCCTCCGAGGCGGGCGAGGTGCTGATCGGTGTGCCGGACAACGGGGTGGTGAAGGTCACGCCGGCGTTCCGCTGCTCCGGCGCCGTGTGGCCTCGGTTCGCCTCGCAGTGGTCCCCGCAGCTGCAGCAGCAGCAGCAGCAGCAGCAGCCGCAACAACAAGGCTACTGCGACGAAAGCCTTCTTCATCGGGGCAATCACCAACACATCCACCATCAGCAGAGTCACGATCGGCAGAGTCACTATCAGCAGAAGAGTGACTATGAGCAAATCCACTATTACCACAGCCAGCAGCAGCTTCTGAAGCATTATCATCAATTGCTGCAGCAGCAGCAATTGATGATGATGAAGAAGATGCATCAGTGGCCAGGCCCAATGCGAATGGCAGAGATCAAAGCGGCCGGCTTTACCCTGCTGCCTGCCGAGGACGACCCATTCTTGGGCAAGGGCGGCGTGGAGCGAGGCAACGCCAACGGCAGGGCCAAGCTACCCGGGGGCAGCGGGAGCGGGGCACGGCGACGCGTGGCTGCTGCGCTTCACGGAGGCCGAAGAGCCGCTGCTGGAGGGCGGCTGCAGGCGCAAGTGCCTCTCCGTCCTGTCGGCGCTGCGCGAGAGGCACCTGCCCGGCGTGCCGGGCGGCTGCCTCGTGCGGACGCTGCTGCTGCTGCTGCTGCTGCACGAGTGCGAGAAGCACCCGCGCGACGCGGAGTGGGCCGACACGTGCCTCGGCGAGCGCCTGCTGGGCGCGCTGCTGCGGCTCGTTCTCGTGCCTGCGCTGCCGCCGGTGCCCGCACTTCTTCGTGCGCGGCGCGGAGCTGCTGCGCGGCGCTGGAGAGGGCGGCCGAGCGGGCGTGGAGGCTGGCCAGGCCGCTCATCGCCGGCCCGGCGAGCGTCGACACGCTCCGATGGCTTCGGGCGGCGGCTGTGCCCCGCCGTGGGTAACGTTCGGCGCACGAGGGGGCGGTCTATCGGCCAGTGGCCTGTCGTCGAGACGTAGGAGAAAGTTGAGTGACCTTGAGGGCACTGGTGTCAGTGGGTGCTTCTTTTTATTTCTTTGATATAGTCCGCGGTGGCGAGATGGTAACTGCCTCGCCTGGTATGCAGGAGGTGGCGAGCTCAATTCTGACCCTGACGGCCTGCTGTATATTTGTAGTTTGCATGTTCTCTCCGTGGATTTTTCTCCGGGTAATCCGGTTTTTCCCTCCACATTTAGACAGTTTGCTTAAAGAGTATTTGGCTGCTATAAATGTCCACGTGATAAGCCACTTTGTTGAGCAATCATTTGTGGCCTTGTCACATCTGAAAAAGAGCAATATAGCTCAGTGGGCCTTACCTGGCAAAATAAAAAAATAGCCTAGTTTAGTCCACTTAAAGTGCAATACACTTGGTCCATCGATGCCCCGATGTTGAATTGCCAGCCTGCTAGAACTTTTCACCGCTCACCTCGAGTCACTCATTCACACAGCACTAAGTCACTGGAAAATCGCTTTGCCCACATAGCAAATCGACACGGTTGGCAAGTCACTTGGAGCCAGGTGCGGTGAGTAGAGATTTTCTCTCAGATTAATCGATATTCCCACCTGTATACGAAACGTTCAAAGTGATCACATTTCCTTAATAATGAAAGATTACTCTGAACTAGCTGTAACAACAAAAAAATAATCAATGTATTGCTTTGAATTCTGATAACGACGGTTGAAAATACGGTCATGTGCTCTGAACTGAAAAGTGGCGCCACTTTTTCCGATATGAGGCCCGCGGGCTTTGCGATCGGCTCTCACATACAGCTTGCGTGTGAGCAGCAGTAGCTGCTGCTCATCAGGGGTGTGATGATACATCAATACATCACGTGACACAGACTCCTGTGGAAGGATCAACCTTTTTCAAGCCGTATGTGTTGGACGTAATGTGTTCACGTGATCCCTCCCCCGCCACTAGAGGCTGCTGCAATCATAACACCATTGTTAACTCAACAATCGAATCCTTACTTTAAATACCTTGAATCGCCAGCGGTGAATCGATTTATCCCCACGACTCATCGCCAGCCTATGCCAGCACCACTACCCTATCTATGAAGGCTGTGTAACACTGTATGCACGTAGATAATCATATTATTTGTACTTTATAGTTCCACTGCTGGATGAAGGCCTCCCCACACCACAACAGTCATGCTAGTTGTTCGACCATATTTCACCATGCTGGTCAGGACAATTTGGTGTACGAGGGGGCACAGGACCGGTTTAAATATCACTCCCCACTGGTGTTGGCCATGGATGGGGATCAGATCACTGCTTTCATAGCGCAGCGCGATAACTACTGCACCACCATTCCCTCCCCTACCCCTATGAAGAAATAACGGCACATGAGTGAACATATCTTCCTTTAAACATCGTCCATGGCATTTGGAATCCTGCAAACTAACAACAGATTTGCTCAGTTTCAATTTACTTTTGTTTAGTGTATGTGTCGAGTGGCACGTTACACACGTGTGACGCTTGATGAAGGTTTAAAGGCATATTTGTGATTTTCTTGATTTATGTACAAGACCTAAACAAACCGATGAACAATGTAGTAAATAACGCATATCTATAAACAATTATGTAGATGGAATGTCGCTATGAAATGTATCTATAATATTTACCGTGTCTCTCAAATACCAAAAAAATATCTCACCATGTTAAATAGCTACTTTGGTAAAGTTCTTCCAGTGAGTTGAAGATGGCTTGGTAATTCACGTCAGAATGTGAGTGTGGGACCACATCACACGTGGCACTCATAACACCAAAAGCGGTTGGTGCTTGAGTCGCTTTGAAGTCAACTCAGCCTAAAATGAGTAACTAGGCAAGCTCTGGTCAACATAAACACTGGGCAGGCATAGGAGATCAAGCACGATGCTGACCAGGCTGAGTAGGTGCTTTCTCAAATATACATTAAACATAGCCACCTAAAGGTCCCATGTTTCTCAATTGATTATAATAAATTATTTGACAGTCCTCATCTTCATAGGTAGACCAGAGACATTACTATAACCCTCCACATCTTTCCACTCAGGGCCAGCGCATATCCATAAGAACAACCACCGTTAACGTTTCACAGGTGTACAGCCCTATTTTATCAACCCCTAGATGATGATGGATTGAGTCGAGATTCCAGTACGTACCCAGCATAAACGGACCATGCGAACGGAGAAATATCTACCACTAGCTCAGCGCCACCAACCATGGGGGAGATATTTGAACTTTGAGGCAGACACGCGACCGCACACAGCGTACAGACAACCCGGCGCAAAAACTGATAAAACACATTTGGGCTTTCCCTCCACATTTATAAACGCGTGTTGAGAATATTTGGCTGCTATACATTTCCACGTTGAGCTTTCATTTGGGGCCAGTTCGCTTCTGAAAAGGAGTTATATGGGCCTTACCTGCTAACATTGTAATAGTAAACAAAATAGTTTATATGTATTTGGAACTTCTTTAGCTCCGTACATAGCCAAGCATGCTAATTGGAGGTGCGGGAGCTCATTTAGTATTTTTAAACATCACATTTGCGAGTTTACAGTTTTACATTTGCTGGGAGCTCACTTTGGGGTTGAGCTTTTTGAAGGCCGGATCCTCCTCATCCACCTCGAAGAACATCTCCGTGGCCGTGATGGAGAGCGTCCCCTTGGCAACCAGCCCCGGTGCCACCAGCTGGGCGGGAGTGCTGATCACAACCGGTCCTGCTCGCACGCACGAACCAAACAAAACCCACTCGTTCATCCCTACGTACGCCAAGGTTTAAGTACACAGCACAATGTGATGGGATGTCGGGAGGGGGGGGGGGGGAGGCCGGGGGGGGGGGGCAGAACCCAGCGGGGGGTGCAGTTGCCAATCGGCGCGGATGTTCGCGGTTCGAATCCAGCGGCCACCCCGGTTATTACTGCCGGTGTGATAACCGGCAATAAAGCTACGACGCGCCGTCTGCTTCACGCCGGACGTCGCTACAGATCCCCCCCCCCCCGATGTTGTTCGCAAGAGTAAGGCCATCGTGCGCCGGCGTCAGAGTCCCACTTTCCCACGTTCGAGAATTACACCACAGATTACTCAATAGAGATTACGCATGGAAATCATCGCCCCGTACCCAGGTTACACCCTTTTTAAAAAAAACAACAAAAAACTCCAACTTGCACAACTTATGGAGGGCACAGGGGAACTCTCGAGTGCAGGGTACACAATGCACGCCAGTAGGCAAATGTACCACGCACACATGTGTGCAGCCGTACACACACACACACGTAAGTACACATTAATACATGCATGAATATGCACAAATGCATGCTCATAGTATGCACTACACACAGAAGCAGCCACGCACACACAGGCATTTTGTGCATTTATAGGCACACACAGACATACACATTAAGCATACGTGTACACTGTAAGATTATTCAAGCTGGGTTTCATTACAATGCAGTGCAGCTTGCAAATGTGGTATTTAAATGTAAAATTAGCCATTGTAGGTACATTTTAAGTATCGTCATTTGGGCTATGTCCTCAACAACATACAATGGATTATAAATGATGCCACAGGATATTTAAATTCAAATTCACAGAAAATGGCGAACTTTGATTATACTTCACGATGGCAATCATAACTGTTAAATGGCAGAGTTGTTGCACAATCAGGCAGTCTTCCTCCTAGGAAATTAACCTTCACTACACAACCTCTCGGGAACAAACTAAAACTAAACAATGTTTTATTTTACCAAGTAAGGCCCACTTAGCCATGTAGTTCTTTTTCAGAAGCAACCTGGTCACAAATGTTGGCCCAACGAAGAGGCGTATCATGTGGGAATGTATAGCAGCCAAATACTCTAAACGCACGTTGATTTTAAATGTGGAGGAAAAAACCGGAGGCCCTGGACAAAAATCCACGCCACACCAGGGAGAGCATGCAAACTCAAAATATACAGCCGTCAGGGTGGTGATCGAACCAACCACCTCCTGTATACCAGGCGAGGTAGTTATCATCTCGCCACTGAGGAAGAACAGGATGAGACAGGATGCCAAAAAATGGTTTTGTAAACTCAAATGCCAAAAGAGAGTGTTGGTACACAGTGTGACCACCACTGAATAATGTGCCATATGCATTCTCAATGGACGCGCGGTGATTCAGTGTTTGGCACACTGCGCATGAACCCATCGACATATGTTAAATTCCCAGTCACAGCTAACTGCACGTGATGAGTGACATCTGAAATCTGGACGAGGCGGTGGAAGCCGATGCTCCTTGGAGGCAAGGGCTTGACTGTGAGGTGTCCCAGGAGATAGCAGCACAGCAAGTTGGTTGTGAATCTGCTTGTGTTAAGATCTAAGTGTTACCCCCGCATATGCGTGGGGTTTTCTCCGAAAACTCCAAGTTTGTCCGACATGTAAAATCACCCTTTAAAAAAATCGCAACTTGCCAAAACAATGGAATGCAGGCCGACCTGAAAATTTAACCTTAAGACTCTTTATTGAGGATTTTCTGTATCCATTTTATCCGTGCAATTTCCCATAAATATGTATTTGGCAGATCAAGTTCAAAAAAGCTGCAGTTGCCTGCTGTCATACAATTTACCCTCCATAACTAACCACCGCTGATCTTGCAATAAAGATGAGATTCGGCAATTAAATAGTTCACAAGTGTCTTGGATGCCAATGCATCGTGGTTCTCAAATTGCATAAAACATTTAAGAAGACCAATATTAATCACAAACCTGTGCACTGATGCAATACTCGAAGAGTCGTTTCAGGGTGCACTCTGGAGCAGCAGTGGAAACCTGCTCGGAATTCCAGGCACCGTAGATCATGTCTGTTTTTGGGGCAGATAACTTCAGTGTCCCGAGGCCCCAGGACATACGGCTGCCTCCTTAATCTCTTCAAATGAATTGGCTGGTTACTGTGGGCGTTGATTCTCCCTTATTGTACCTCAATGGACACTGAGACGGCTGTTCATGCTTTCGCTCAATCTGAATCCAGGACTTTTTACAAACTATCTGCCTTGCCTTGGCACGCAAAATGATACTCATGAATTATGTGACTCCTGTTATAAGGTCGTTTCAAAGCAACGTTTTAATGTTAAAGCTGCCTCAACACAAAACGATGTACTCTATCGCAGTCGCCTGTCTGAAGAGCGGCCAAACTGTTACCCGAGGAAACATTTCTGCCATAAAGAGTGCCAGTGTTGAAAGTAATGAGTTTTGATGATCGGTGCTTGTCTACCACTGCCAACACAGTCACTTAATCTGTCTTGCCCACAGTGAGCAATACGTGACGTCAATAAATATATCGTGTCATTATTCAGCACGTAATAATAATACGTTACATATTGCAATACTGATAAACTTATTATATATTAGTCACTAAGTAAACTGTAACCAAGCCAATTTGCTTATAGAAATAAAAACAAGAGATAAATATTTGACATATGCCACACGAGAAAATGTGTTATATCTAAGCCACTATTAAACCGCACGTGCACGTATATGAAAAAATCCTTGTGTTCTTCATTCTTCAACGTCGGGTGCAACGGCTTCACATGCACCCCTCCCCCCACCGCATTCATTTCAGGCCGCTATATTCACCACAATGTAATAAAAATAGTACATCTTGAATGGAATTGCAACGCTGAATCACAATAAATCACCGAATCGTAAGACGAAGGGGGTGGGGTTCAATTAAAATACATCTACTGTTAAATTTCGATTTAAAGCTTTTGTGACTGCAGGGATTAATCTTCTTGGTTCTTTCGGTAAAGTCACGTAGAAGGGAAATAATAAAATAATAAAAATAAAACATAATAAAATAAAATTCTCACGACGTTTCGGCCACAACACAAGTAGCCTTCCTCAGGTGAAGAAACAGAACTGTCGGGAAGACAGCGCTCCAATGAACACTGCTAAGCTTGGCAGCGTCTATTAAGCTGGGTGGGAGGAGCAGAGCGCCTTGACAAAGAAGTTTACATATCAACAGAAGAATTTAGCATTGAAGTAGCTGTGTTAATGTGTTAGATTACGTCTACTGTATTTGAAACAATGCTGCAAGTTTATTGAATCGCCCTTACCTCCGTTCACCCAGCAGTATAAATGTGCACAACCACGGCTAGTCAATTGGCAGGTCGTGTGTGGTGGGGGAAAGTGTGGGTACTCCCACCGCCTCCTTGTGGTCTGGCCAGAATGGAAGAGTAGGCCAATATACCCTTCTATAGGGGCACTATAGAACGCCCTCTAACGGAGGCCATTCCGTGAGCAGTGGCCAAAGCAGGGTATTTCAGTCCTGCACTTTTACCTTCGTGTAAAGCAACGTGTTGCTGCAATTTAGCATTTCGAGAGGGCGGCAGTCAGCCAGATTTCAGTTTGAGCTGTCCTTATCCCTGTCAGGACAGCTGTTGCCTGTCAGCCACCAGACCGGTTGCTCTGTCAAACGGGCAGATGTATGACTGGGATGCTTGGAGCAAGAGCTTCAGTCGATAGCCTGATTTGGCTCTAAGTCTATCAATGCCTCCTCGTTAAAGCCGCCGTCACAGGAGTTGCACATCGTTGCATAAAATGAATTAGGAACTGGATATAAAGAGCACACTTGTTCAAAGCATTATTGCATTCAAATAACCAAATCCCCTTTGGTTTCACTAATGCAATTAAAGAAGAATGTGTATATATTGATAAACACAATGTGAGTGGTACATTACAAAGGCGCAACGTCTATTCATTCTACCCCTATAGATGGTTGCATGTGACAGTAAACACACATTTACGAATTACCCATTAAATATTACATTGCTGAAAACCCTGTGTAACAGTGCAATTAAAGTACAGAAGTAGACCTCAATGTGCCCAAACGCGTTGGACACCATTGACCCACACGACATTTTTTGTCATACAAAAAAGTCAGCCGCGATTGGTGGAAACAAAAATCAACGCTTTGGAAAAACGTCACAAACACAAACATTTTTACGAACGTCTGCGCCTGTGCGCTTTAACACGTAGGCTTTTGCGACAAATATCATCCATAATGTAGATGTTTTGGGTTAGATCGCTTAAATATAAATGTGTCGTTAAACCCGCCACCACTCGGCCTGTGTGCACACCTGGATCAAGACGCCCGTCATCGGTGTTCCTACCTCAAATCTTAACGCCTTGCGCTGTTCAAATGAGGCTGGAGTTACACTCATCTCAGATGGTCACACCTTAAACCGGTAGTGGGATTTCCATATTCCATTGAACGGGGCAAGTATTTTAACAGGATGACCACTGTTGACTTTTACCAAAGTTGTACCCATTTTTTTTATCAACCCTGTAAGATGATGAACTGAGATAATTCCCATCTGGTATGTGAACCTGTGAACCTTTCAATTGTGAATCGAGTCTGAAAATAGGGTTTTCCCCTTTTTTTCTGGCAACAAAACAGCTGTTAAGATGTTAAAACATCAAACTGAAACCTTTTACAAGGAATCATGTCTGCATGGTTTAACACCGTTTTGAGACGAGGCTCAAAAGAAAGCTTTCTCTGGTGTGGACCAATCAGTTTCAAAGACAATGCATATATTATCAGAGTATGTTTTTTGTTTGCATTCTGACCACAAGTATTGTGGTTAATGCAGACATGATTCCTTGTAAAAGGTTTCAGTTTGGTGTTTTAACATCTTAACACCTGTTTTGTTGCCAAAAAAGGGAGTAAACCTATTCTCATATTTTGGTACTGGCAAAGGAGGTCCCAATTGAGTACTCGAGCCAAAATATCTCTAGATCCTCAACCGGTGGCATTAAAATAAATAAACCTTTACATACTCTTTGGTTCTTTCGGTAAAGTCACGTAGATATAAAATAAAATAAATCACGACGTCCGTCATCAGGTGGGAAAGCATTGTCTGCTGCTGAGGCAGACTGTTTTAAAAAAGTTTGAAATGGGTGTAGCTCAAGGGTTATAAAGAAGTGGCCGGGGCTAGTGATGTTAACGTGAAGGATTAGCATGTAAAAGTAACCTAGGAAAGCGGCCTCCTAGAGGCCTCCTAGAGGCCGCTCTCTTATTTTATTTTATACCCACGTGACTTTACCGAAAGAACCAAAGAGTATGGATTCCTGCAGTCACGAAAGCTTCAAATCAAGATTGAACTCTTTATATGAACAAATGTTAAAAACAAGTGATTACGGGCAAGGAAAAAACAAGCGTAGTTAGTGAAAGGTTATCCAAAGCATTAGAGACTGGTCAAATAAATGAACAGCAGGATGGAGTTGCTTCAGCGCAACACTTGCCTGCAGTCGACAACCTTAACATAAAATCTGAAACAAGAGAAGAAACAATAAACGTGACGCAATGGCTCACCGAAGTAAACAAGCGTAAACAATAGCAAGAAGGATGTCACGTGAACCACTTCAGCGGATTTACGTCGTGATATTAAAATAATACAACACTGTCCACCGTGTTCTCCGGCTGATGACGCACTGCTCCCCTCATGCATTTCAAATCAAAAGCTGAGCGCGCATCTTGTGATGCGGTTGCTGTGCGTGCGTGCGTGCGTATGTGTGAGCGGCAGTGCGGCGGTTAGCGCGTTGCGCTATGCACCCGGTGACCCGAGTTCGATTCCCGCTCATCGGCGGCCAACATCGTTGATGAATATCTGAACCGGTCATGGGCCACCCCTAGGTCGACTCAGATTTTAATGAGCACCTGGTGTGGGAGACAAAAGGTGGCCGGGCGTAGTGCTGGCCACTCACCCCCCTGTGTGTGGTACCAGCCTTTATTGGTGTTCGCTCATGGCACTTGCCCCAAAAGTCGTTTAGAGGCTATACGGGGAATAATTGTCTAGGTGTTAGCGTAACCAGATTTGTGGAACTTTATTGGCAGCGGGCACAGGTTTTGGGGCGCGTATTACTTTCCTGGAGCATATTATAATCTGGAAAATAAGGCGTTACGGTAAAAGTCTGGCTGCCTGCAAAGAGCTTTAGCCATCCCGCAGGCCAGATACGTTTAGGATGTATTCAAGAAAAAGAGACTCAGTAATGTGTTGATGGAAACGGTGTATCAACCATTTCTTAATGCACATACAGAAAATAGCAGCAATTTGGCCATTATATATTTTTTTAAAAATACTTTAACAATGCAGCTTTGTTAAGCAGGTCCTTTCCCTCAAAATATGTGCTTAGAACCTGTGCTGAAATGAATGGCCGTTCTTCCAACACATCAACAAGGCTCAGGGAGCTTCCATAAAACGTTAAATTTAACGGTAATTGTGACAGAGCTTGTACGACGTGCAGAGCACTGCAGAAAGGAAGACATATTTAGACGATTGTTTTTTTAGTACTCCAAATATCGGTTTGCAACTCAGAAGCTACGGTCCTGGGACGACACGCCGTGTTCCCACTTACTGTTGCTGTGGATGATTCCACCAACCCCGCTGCCTCACCTCTCATTCTCCCACTCTCCTGGGTTCTCATCACACGCTCACCCATCCACATTCATCAACCAGCTCACTCGCCAACCCAACCACAGATTCTACTCAATTCGCATTACTGTTCTTTGCTTACTTATACACACACAGGCCGCTTGCACATCTAACCGCTCACCAGCAAAAAACCTTCATCCCATACCCACTCACAAATCTCCTCATCAATACACCGTGATGCTGTACCTTCAAACGGGAAATGTATCCACGCATACACTTACCTAAGAGCTCCCACCAGGCTGCATAACTTGTTGATCACAGCTCATCGGATTCCTCCGTTCTAAATAAAGATTCTGATTCAGACATCCAACTGCTGACACGTTTACTCAAAGACTCACGCACATATCCACTCAGGACGCTCGTCCACACACGTAATCACTCACTCGCGTGTTCGTACAATAATTGCCCGGTCGTCAGACCAGCTACGTGACGTCAACTCCCCACCGCCGTGCCCACTGACCGGTCATGCTGTCGAGCTCCTTCTCCTCCATGAGGCTGAGGGCATCGTCCTCTCCCTCCAAGAGGAGTTCGCTCTCTGAGTTTTGGTTGGCGAGGGCTTGGGCGCGGAAGGCCTTGCGGGCCTGCTTGATCACATCCTCGTCCGCTCCTGCACAGGCAACACCACGCAGCGCAGAGCTCAAGGTGAGGGGAGTTTAGAGTGAGTCGAGGTACCCACCTTCCCGCTTAAATGGGAGTTGGAAAAGTATTGATGTAGAGACAAAAAACCCCAACAAATATCATCACAAATTAAGAATAAACGTGATGCGAGGAGCACTGTGTGTGTGAAAATGGAGAAATGTCACTCATGCTTAAGTGAAAAGTAGGTTGGTGCTCATCTTTCTTCACTGCCCTGAGACAATTTCTTATTTTTGGGCTTGGGAATAGTCTCTGCAGGGAATGCTGTTTCCACACATATGGTATACAATGTATCAACCCCAGAGAGACGTTAGGACTGATTTTTTTAAAAAATGTATTACATTTTTTTAATATATATAAAAAATCGGTGTGCGGTAAAAGGGTTTAAAAATCGGTAGGGTTGGCAAGCTTGCTTTTGTTTGTGTGTTCCACTACCGGCTCCAAACCCCCGATGCAGACGAGCACCACGTAAATAATGGTGGGATTACGAGGGCACGCGCACTGTGTGGCTCTGTGTAAGTGAGACAGCACCCCCTGCAGGGGAGGCGGCAATTGCCCAACGTCACGTGGCCATTCCTCTGCGATCGTAAATCCCCCGCAATATTTCATCGCGGCGCTGTACCCAATCGTTCCTATTCTAGTCAGAGGTCAAATCTGTTCAGGGTCAACAAAATAAGTCGAGAGCCGTTCTACTAATGGTAGGGCAATTCGTTCCCCTGTTGTGGCGGATCTGGCAGGCAGCCCTGGCTATTACTGCGCGTGTATCCACCGCTAAATATGCGCAGGCTGATTCACAGCGGTGCACGTTAAAGATCCCTGACGTCGTTCAAAATGAGCCGGCCATGACGCACAGCAACATTGCCCCCTCCTCCCCTATAATACTCCTGCAGGCTGTGTACATGAAAGATGACTTGAACATCACCGCTACCGAATGAGCTGCCCCGACAGTGGAATGTAAATGATCGCGAAGGGATCGCTGGGTCAAGGTCGGCGCGGCGCTGCCACTCGCCGCTCACCGTGCTCGATGGCCGCTCGCAGGGTGGCGTCGGAGTGCGCCGAGCCGAAGGGGTTTCTCACGAAGCGCCGGCGTCTGCGCAGGTCGTCCTCCCAGTAGTCAAGCCTCCAGAACTCTTGCAGGCGGCTGAGTGGGAGCGACAGCGCAGGGTCGGACCGACGGAACGCGCGCGGGTGCGCAGCGAACGCGGAGTGACCGACAGTTGGCTCCGATCGGAGGGCTGGTTGTCACCGTGTGAGAGCATAAAGTTGGCCAGGTTAATGGTGACGTGCCACGGTGGTTTGATCGGGTGACTCAGATTTGGAAGGACGCAAGTGCAAAGGGCAGTCGGGGGTAGAATCAGCCTGTCATCCGTTTAGTGCCAACAAATAAATGGGCACCACTTTGTGGATCTATGGAGACTGGCTTTCACCGTTAGAAAGTGTTTGTGTTTTTTTTTTTTACCACAGACCCTAGGGTCATGGCATATTAAGCATCTGAAAGCATGACCCTTGCTCACATTTGGAACACGTTCTGGTCCATTTATTTAATGCTGGTCAACTCACCGATGTGAATATTGACGTCGGGTACCATTAGTACGTCTCCAAACCTATTTCACATCGGTATGCAATGTTCTGCCTATAATTTAGAGGGAATGCACTTCCACAGGCATTGCAACCTCAAACGGTTAAGGCAAAGCACATTATTATCAGGGGCTGGGCATTGAATCAAATCAAATAAACGGGCCGTGGAATCAGCGGTCAAGCCACTCTGGTGCAGGGCATCCCGTGGGGCTTGGTCACAATGGCAATAGCCCTCCGCTCTTCTACCGGGTCACATACACCGCGATGATTCCAATCCTGCTGCAGTGACAACACTCAGAATCGTACATAGGGCTGTGGAAATTAAAATAAAACTGTTGCAGAGGGAAACAAGGACAGACAGAATTCTCATACAGCGTCAAAAATGTTCTCGTGTGGATTTTAAAATTGCTTCACACACACACACACGTACGCACGTGTGCCCGTGGGAGAGAACGCTCCACAGGCGTAAAACATTCGCGCACGCGACCACGGCCACGCTCGCGCCTGGGCCCGTAATTTCCCCCTAATAAGGCGGCAACGTTAGCCAACCGTGTGGTTAAAAACAATCTAACGTGTAAAAGAGCAGCGGAAAAACGTCGAAAAGAACAACCGGTGCGTGCTTTTCATCCATTTGCGGTTCTCCACCAACATAAATTTTGGCCGATTTATTTTTTTGATCCAGTAACAAAAAAAGCAATTTCAAAAAAATGTAAAGTGTCGCGCCCCCCCCTGTTGAAACGAGTTTTTTATTGCGGCAATAATCCCCGCCGTTGCCCCCCCCCCCTCATTCCTGGGGTGGAAATAGGAGATTTCTATAGCAGGAGTTAGACTCTCTTGATGTGGGTAAAAATTACCGCTGACTTCCGAAATAGTAAAAATTGTATCCAACCCAGAAGGATTATGTGTTTTATGAGTTTTTAAAAAAAAAATCATGGTTGCTGAGCAAAGGCACAAAAGCCCAAAACGAAAAAGCAGCTAGCAAAAAAACTGCACTTCTGACACGCACTGCCGACTACACACATTAAAGCAATGTTAGCACAACCATCATGCATTTATTTATTAACTTCCCACCCCCTGCTAATTGCCCCGCATTGGAAACATCGAATCCGGCCATCGGAGAGCACTAGGCCAACCCGATTGCGACAAATGCAATTCGCGTGAATTAATGACGTTAATTATTTTTAAATCACCAATCGCCAAGCCTTTCAAGAGCAATGTTGGCGTGGCACAGATAGGGTAAATGGTTTAACAATCAGGCTTATTTAATCGTACATGAGTTTGTCACACAGATATGCTGCAATGTGTAAGTTAAAGCACCACACCACAGATGACATCAGCAACCACATTCCTGTCTCGCCTGGTTAGCTCAGGAACACACATTGATCGGGAACACCACCGGGTGTGCATGACTTACCCCATGATTTCCATGGTATCAGGCCACCAATAAGTCGTTGAGAAAGTGAGGGCATTCGGACTTAAACTAGTCATGGCAATATGCTTCTCATTGCGATATCTGGTATGGGTGGAGCTGGACCCTGAGTTCGATTCACAGCCATGGACAAAATCAGTGGTGAGTGATCTCAGAACCTGTCCTGGGCCCTCCACCTTCATCAACCCACACTGACCAGCATGGTGAAATATGGTTATACAATTCCCATGACTAACATGGCATGGGAACGCTCTCAACCAGCAGTGGATTATCAAAGGAGTTTTTATTGTTATATTATTTTGTACAGGTGTATGTGGAGGATGCTTTATACTCTCAAACATGTCAACATTGCCCAACGAGCCGTAGGGCTTTTACCGAAACCACCAATCCATGGAATATCCAAAGACACAACAAGTGGAGTCAAAGATCATGACACGGATTGAGAAACGGGCTCTGGTCAGCTGTTACTCAAAAGCAAAGACGATGCTTCCCACAGTACTCCTAATTGTACTGAATGGACGCGTTCATCACAAGTTGCTTCAGAACGCTCGGTGCCAAACAACGAAACAGACATTCACTTTTAAGTCGAGGGTCACAGTCATTAGGGCAGACGTGAACAGGGTGAGCGAGAACCCAGAGTCGGGCACGACGACGGTGAGAACGATCGTCTGCGTTCAACGTGTCCCTCCGGGCTTGTTGTCTACAAGATCAGAGGACTGTTCGTGCATTGGGATTTTTTTTTCACCACAACTGCCGCTGCTGCGTGGAGTACAGTACATGTATTTTAAGCCTCGATGTCGGAGCTCTGGAACATGCCTTGGACGAATGTCCTGACTAACAGTTCAAGGAGGTGCTTTTCCTCCAGAAGCGTGTTAGGAATGCACAACTTCTTTTCAATCCTGTTTTAGCACAGCCAAAGTATTTCCATGTTCACACGGATTATGGATGATACTTATCTTCACTGATGACCTTGAATCACCGGTGGATATTCCAAATGTGTGTGATGAGGATTCGTCTATACAGTGGGCGAAGACTGATTACATCCCGCAAAGTGGTACTCATTTTATTATGCAGAATGGTTGCTGAGTTGACCTTCGATCATTTTAACAATAACCTTCAGAATGTTAGTCAAGTGATCAGCCACAATCCCACCTAGACAGCAGAAAGTGGGTAATATAACCAAAACAATGCTTTTAAAATATATCACAACAGAGGGCAGCCTGTCCTAAGGACAGGATGACGTAACCTTTACCAGACGTGCACCATTCACCAGGCTCACATCAGCAAGATTAACACTCACTGGACAATCACACTCAACAGACACCACGCACCATATGCTCACACTCACTTTACACTCACCCGACACTCACCAGTCAACTCTTACACTGTGTAGCATAGGCTACCCTGAAGTACTGCATATAGGTGGCACAAGCAGGGAGGGCGCCACTTGAACGGGGAGCCAATTTGTTGGAAACAAAGCAAGCTATGACAGCTGGTGGCTCGATTCTCTTTCGGGTTGGGCAGCGTCAGCAGTCCAGCACCGAGGGGTGGCACCTTGCCCCAGGCACCAACATGTCGAGCCACAAATCCAAGCTAGCATTATTATTAAAACATTTTTTTTTATCACGCTTGTTTACCCAGGCATTTGCAGAATGCAGGCACTGCTCATTGCAAATAGCAGAGAGTATTGTTATATGTCGCACCGCGGCTACAATTCCATCACGTAGGTCCTTGGATTATCCTGGCCAGACTAACGTCAAATTGAAAACTGTATGAAAAAAAAATAGCGGAGTAAATGGTCTGACTTGTATGTTGAACTACTTTTGCACCTATATAGTCAACCGTGGTAATCGGAGGTGCAGGGGGAAGGACAACAAACTAAGCACAAAAAGCAGCTCGAAAGAAATTAGTTTTCAATCCAGAAAATTTGACAGATAAATGGCCAGGATGAAAGACAAATACAGTTGCTTCGGACAAACGAAGGTGAATATGCATTTGCTGATGTCATTTGAGTTGAAGGGTCAGAATTGTATATCGAAATGTATCTCACATTCAGGAAACTTCATGGAAAAAAACCACACAGAATGACACTCGCAATTGGGATTTACGTAATGTCCACATGCAGCAGCGTCTCAAGATAATTCAAGCGGCATGGGTTTCTGCTGCACTTCAATCACTCCAGAGCAGCACAAAGAGGCATAATAGCATAAAATCCCAAGTGTATCAGGTGCAATTAGGGCACATAGTCTCCCCCTTACATAACATGAAAATACAAAGCATTAAACTTGAGGGTCAACACCAGTAAATTCATAGTGTGCTGTGCAGGGGCAGTGGCATGGAACAATGTCGAAGTTAGAAGGGGATCAAAGTGGCCATGGAGACCAAGGATGAGTAGCCAAGGTGGCCCCTGCAGGCTGTGAAACAATTATCTAGGTGGCACAGCAAAAGACTTGGCCCCACCATCCAAAAGTTAGGATGGCAGCTCTCTGCCCATCCATCTCCTTTACATTTCCATGCCCAACATGCCCATGGTAATCGGAGCGCCACCACTGATGTACAAAAAAACCAGGACACATCATAGATGCCATAATTATCGCACAACACCAAAGCATGGGACAACAACACGAAAATTCCGTGTCCTGAGCGGCGCATTATTATTACGGAACTGACAAAAGCCTTGTAATGTCCTGGGAAACACGCACACACATTTTTATTTTCCAAGGACAAGGGCAGCGACCTCAAAGAGAGGATGATTGCTCGGTAAGGCAGCACTGGCAGTGACCACAGCTGACACGCGCGTCCGTGGTGGGCGCTGCCGAGCTCTACCTGGCCGTAGCGTTGCCCCACGCGCCGTGCTTGTTGGTCAGGATGTTGACGATCTTCTGCTTGAGCTGGTTCGCCGTCACGTGGTCGCGGTGCTTGGCAGCACCGATGAGGTGGTCGCACATCTTCTCCTCGTCCCGCCGCTCCGCTGCGTACTGGGCGCATAGCGACTGGGGGGGGGGGGGGGGTGGAGGCGGTGGGATGGAGGTGGAAGGTCGTGAACAGAGGGAGAGAGGGGAATGAAAACATTAAGCCCTTGTACCCATTCACTTCCGTATATTCCCGATGTAAATACTCTCACTAGATATATTCCCTTTGCACGCTGTACGTGCATGCACTTCCAATGTACACCAAGTTTACAGGAATTCACAGCGAGAAAAAAACAACAACTTCCAGGTCACAACTGAAAGCTACACAACTTAAGTTTAATGCTGTATAATAAACTTTGGTACGTGCATACCGGGTGCAATTGAGTGTGGTTTGATGTGCAAGTTAAACCTTCGATCTGAGAGCCCACAGATCGGGACCGTGTTGTGGAGATTTACTAAAACTTTGCCAAATAGCATCGTGTTTTTTGTATATATTTTGTTAATAAAGGGACTAAAGGAAAGTTAGACAAGTCGCTTGACATTTCAGTAAGATTTGTTGGATGTTTCCAGCAAATATGAGATTCGTAGCTAAATCAAACTTGTGGAGGAGCTGTGCTCCATGAGGTTATTAGTACCTCTGGGCGCACCCACGGAAATGACAATAATGTCGCAATGCAATTGATTAAATAAGCCTCACAAGGTTAAAATATGTAGCATGTGTCAGTCCAGTGGAGCGGGTACCCCACTGCTGTTGGGAATTTGATATGGAGTGCTTATTTTGTCACCCACCCCAAGCAATGCCATACACCAGTGTTCGTCACTAATTTTCAGAGGGAGGCCACTTTTGCCGGTAAGGCATCAGCAGCTTTAGGGCCGCCACACCGCCTGCAAGGGGTGCCTTCACGTGTTGTTGTGTATTGTTGGGGGCCGCACGTCAGGGGCATCACTAAAGGCCACGAGGGGCCGCCAGTGGTCCACGGTACCTTGCAATGAAGATAACCGCCATACACAGTGACTCATCCACAGAGGGAGGTCACGGGAGGGACGCACCTCAAACTCCGCGTGCTTGTGCACGTCCTCGGCGCGCTGTCTGTTGAGGATGAACTCGGCCTCGTTGGCCACGCGCACGATGTGGTCCTTCATCGCGTGGCACAGCAGCCTGGCGCCGGGCGTGCGGGACACACACGGTACACACACATGGCGTGCCGCAGAGGCGTGCAGATGCTCCATTTAGCCTCGCTCGCAACGCGACAGCTCCTACGATCGGTACTGGTGCCATTCCCATGGCGCGGGGCTATCGAGCGCGATTGCGCTGTTTCGCAGACGGGAATGGAGGGTGTCGTAACTTGTGAGCATTTAATTCAAATGGTAACTAATTTGGGCCGTGCCGAGGATACATGTGACGGGCATTTCATGGTCATTGCACCGGCGGCATTAATCAGGGCGGCCGCCGCTGAGAGCGAACCGCGAAGACCTGCAATAGCAAGCGGCGAGGAGAGCGCGCTACCGCTCGGCCACGTGCCACACCAAGGGGACGGCTAGCGCAGCACCATGCCCAGTGAGTGTTTGTCTTTCCAGTGCCGATATTTACGTGGTGACAGCAACGCACGCGGTTAAGGCGACGTCACCTTGGGGGACGGCGGGGGGGGGTTCACACGCAATTTGCCAGTTGCGGGCACGACGGGCATTTGAAACGTGCCGTCACTTGGATCGCAGCACATTGTGTTCGGCAGTACAATAACGCTCTGCACACAACGGCACGCGGTGCAAGAAGCACATCGCAGGCGGCTTTACTCGGCAATCTGCAGCAGCATAGTGCACGCAGCAAACCGTGGTACTGAGAACGAGGTATCGCACAGAGCAACACTCTGCACAGGAACACCAGCACGTGCGACACACACGTGCATGTGACGAAGTGTAAGATTTGACTTCACGGAAACAACGTCATACAATGTCAGCATAATAATATTGTGGGGAAGGGGGGAGGGGGGGGTCAGAGTGAATATAATAAGTACATTATAATATATTTTCATTAAAATTCCTTATTCAGAGGCATGTTATAAATAGACTAAAAATGGAAAGTATATAACGTTACTTTTTTTCCTAATTGAATGGCTAAAACACAGGAAGGGGTAACCAGCAATTAAGCTTGACTGAAATAGAATGAGAGCTATCAAAAATATGAGTTTAGCTGAAGGATATCGCTGCTAGCTTCAGCAAGCAAAATGTGGATTCAATGTGCATTGTAAATTGTTATGAAAGCATGGGGCATGTACGAGTGCACGATGGCAAAAAGCTGCACTCACCGCCCCTCGTTGATGAGCTCGATAAACGCCAGGCCGGCATTTTTCTGGATGGAGTTCTGCCATTCCTGCACAGGCAATGGAAAAGTCAAGACTTGATGACGACCATCGACAGACGTTGATGACTGACGCTGACATTTTGTGACTCTACCATTGTCTCCAGTCTTAATGCAAATTCAACTTGGCATGACACGTAATTATTATTACTCAGGGAGGAGCGGCGGCACGCCGTTTAGCGCAATGTGCATTATTGCGTACCAGTTTGAAACGTCGTACTCCAATTGTACATTTTGTGGGTTTACTCTCCAACACACCGGTGTGCCGTGTTAGTAATGCATTGCCGTGTTTTGTTTACATGACAAACCTTACCAATTGGCTGTGTCAGGTGACGGCGGGTCTAACGACACATTTATATTTACGTGATCTAGCCCAAAAAAACCTCTCTTATGGTATAATATAGGTCGTGAAAGCCTACGTGTTAAACTGAAGATAATAACTTGTATGTATCTAATCGGCGTATTCCTCTTTCTGTATGTCAATATGATTTACTAGCATGCTTGGCCCAAATTACTTTGGAATTTCAACTTGGATCTATCTCACCAATGAACAGTTACAGTCACCGAATGTCTATTTGACGTGCAAAAGTCATTTTATGCATTCCTCCAGCAGACCCTCACTGAGTCTCTTTTCTTTCTGAGGGACCGTACAATTTATCAATGGAAAATAAATCCAATCGTAAACATCTTTAAGACTGACAATGAACTCGGACCTTGACTGCTGTACAATAAATTAGATCAACTACAATAAAATGTAGTCTATCTAATTCATCTGAGACTGAGTAAGTGGAAGTTGCCATATGCCCTGTGCTAAAAAAAAAGCCTTTTCTTGGGCAGCTGCTAGTTTTGTGGAGTGGTCAAATGTGGTGAGAAAGAGCAGTGCACAATTACAAGGGGCTCCCCCAAGGGACCCCGCATCAACAAGGCCTGAGGCTGGTGGCCATCACTGCCCACGCGGCAGCCAGCGCAACGCTACGCTCACGTTTCCCTGCTAAGTAGGAAACGGCCTAAATCTCTTGCCACTTCTCTCGTTGATCAAACCCAAAAAAAAACCTCCCATCTCTCTCTCTCTCTCTTTTTGGCCATCTATCCTGCGCGGGCCCTTATACAACAGCCGGTGCGCGTGAGGAAAGCATTATATTGGAGTGCTTGCAAGCAACATATAAACAAGTTGGGGCACAATGATTAAAAAAACAAGAATAGGTTTTACCCTTTCTGGCAATAAAACAGGTGTTAAGATGTTCAAACACCAAATATAAACTTTTTTCAAGGCATCAAACCGGCATTAGCCACACGTACTTGTGGCAAAACATGCAAACACGCTCTGATACTATTATTTCCTTGTTTTGCCACAAGCATGTGTGGTTAACACAGATTTGATGCCTTGAAAACGGTGTCTATTTGGTGTTTGAACATCTTAACACCTGTTTTATTGCCAGAAAGGGTAAAACCTATTCTTGTTTTTCATCATTTTGGATACTGGCAAAAATATCCCATATATAGTTGGGAAACACAATGACACGTACAAAGTATAGAGAGAGTCACGTACAGACACCCCACTGATTTCTAATCACCTTCTTCCTTAGATATTAATGACCTCAGATAATGTATCATTGTATGTCGGCAAATCCGATCGGCGATGTTGGAAAATAGGTACCAGAATATCAGAAAAATGTTTGTTAAAGGATGATTGAGTATACAGTATTGATGTTGGTGTGAGGCGTGTAGAGGGTTCCAATTAAAACGTTGTTCTCTCTATAATGTATCCATATTGTTGCAGTGGGGTGTCTATAAACGGATCACCCTGTCGCATGGTTAATGTTGACAGCTCACTTCAGTGTCACCCATCTTGAGTGACTGGATTCACCTCCGGCTCTTACTCCCACCTCGACTGCTCCATTCCCTATTGGTTGTTCCTAACCTCGACCCATGTCCTCTGAGCACACCATCACTTAAACCGTAGAAGGTTTTCTTGAGGACCAACTAAAATAATACAGAAATCTAGCAGGCCCTAGCTTAGTGGCATCCACCAACTGTCATTGTCCCTATAGACACTGCAGTATTATTGCAACAAAATACAAAAAACCATTAACATTAAAAACATTTTTATATCGACGTGACTTTACCGAAAGACCCAAAGAGTAACCATTAACTATGCTTAAGGGTGCGATTGAACAACATATAATTAATAAAGTTTTCTTCAAAACAATCTGTTTACGAAGAGTTTATGCTCCTTTGATTGCTTCTCAGTGACGCCTTAAGGAAATTATGATTTGATCAATGAAGGGTTACATGTGTACACCCCTCATTCAAAACATTACTTGTAGAAGAATAAGTACCTTGACCTGACAGATTAAATGTACCCACAAAAATTCAGAATATAAAATACAAATACAGTAGCAGCTTTTGAAAAAAATAACTAAAGTACCATTAAACATGACTGATACACTATCACTGGCAGCACAGACTGCGTAGCTAAAGTGTGGAAATGAAACCAAACCAAATTAACAATCAAATATTAGCGCGCACAAACCTATGGCGGCACTTTGGATAATTGAATAATCCTCGCTGCACATTACTTTATGTTTCGTCTCTCTGCTTTTTTATATTCCCCCCCACCCCCCTCCATTCCTCCCCTTTGCTGAAATGTGAGCGGGAGAAGCGAGCCATTCCATTTCCCCTCCAATGATCGATACGGGATGTTCTCGCGCAGATAAGAGCCCTCAGGAGGGAGCAGAGTGCAACCTCTCGCCCAGAGACAGCCCCGTCTCAGATGGTATCATTACCCCTCCACAGCCCCGAGTGGCAGAGGCCACGCTCGTACGCAGGCTCGTGCACGCTCGTCCTGCCGGTGACTTGCGTAGCCCGCACAAGTACCCGTTGCTAACTTCCATCACCCACTTGTCCTTCAGCTCATGAGTCCATTTATCAATCGGCAAAGTCCAAGCCCACAATGAGATCTTCCACTTTCGTTGTGCGGGTTTTGTGGGGATGTGCATTATTTAATGAAAACGAGACGCATGATTGCGCACATTTAAAATCGGGGGGTGCGGCGGACCCTACTTGCTGTTACGAGACGGGACCAGCTTTTCGGTGAGAAGACAACCCGGACAAGAGTTGGGACGTTTCTCAAGAAGGGGGGGGGGGGGGCAAGTGGCGAGGGATGGATGGCTCCACATGAGAACTGTGAGTACAACATCTTTTGAGCATTACAGAGCCCAAGTGCACGCACGTTGTTTCATTGCCGTAAACAAGGGAAGTGTAATTGCATTTCAAGAGTAGACCGCGATTCTTTTTCGCAAACATTTAGCCAGTCCCTGTGAAATTACATGAACCAGTGTTCTGCTGGTTTATTCAATTCACCGTGAAAATAACCGCGACTGTGATTGACTGCTTCGCCACTGGTGGGCCTGAATTCTTGCACGTCATGCATTCGAAAGATGCCTTAAAGTCAAAGGCACAAGTTATATTGCTTTTGGTAGAAGGCACCACGAGTTAATATCTGAGTTACCATGCCCTGCTTGAGAATGAGGGAATGTATGGTGTTTTCCATCACATGCCCTTACACAATTCCTCAAAAATTGCAGGAAACATAACAGCTTAGAAAAAATTCCAGTCTATGCAATTTTATTTGAGAGGAAAAACATTCCTAAAAGGGCTCTCTTTATACTCTAATTTTGAAAAGATGTTTGGTTTGGCTTTACCAGTTTTTAAACACCAAATTAGGTTCATATGTGATGCACATATCTGACCAAATAGTGTTGTGATTGTAATGCATTTTAGAGGTTGTAAGCTTGAAACCCGGTCCGGCATTAACTCAGCACACCGCTCCGAGAGGGTCTCATAAAATAAGCACGTTGTGAGAAGTCAGCAGCGGTCATTCTGTGAATATACTGGCCTCTGCCATAGGAATGTGGAATGATCACCACTGGCAATCTTAGTTTAAATACGGAGAAACGTTGACTTGTATAGTAATGCTTGAGATATCGTGACAGCATGATGGTTATAAAAGATGCTGTTTCTAGAGCTGTAATGGATGAGCACCATCCAAATGATGGTCGTGGAGAGAGCATGATTCTATTAAAGCTGATGCAGAGAGATTCAAAACTGGGTGTGGCAGCCTGATGGGCCTTTGTGGGGGCATCATGTCTCCCATACTGGAGACGGCTGCTCAGCTGAAAGATAGGGCCATCCTTGTCAGCAACTCAAACTTCACCTGATAAATGTTTTTATATTGGGTAGAGTATGGGTTAACTTTATTAACGTGAGTGGAATTAATAACAACAGTGGTTAACTCTTTTAACTTGTTTTTCCTTCTGACTTCTCATTTTGTTGTTTAAGGCCCCGGGTGAATATTTTAGTCCTTCTGCTTCGTGAATTTGCACCAACAAAGCAATGCGTCTTAAATGTTGTATCCTTTCTGGTCTAATAACTAGCAATATTTAATATTTAGATGTAAAACAAATAATCATATTTTCAGTTTCCCAAATATAATTCAAGTAGAATATTATAATAGTTATCAGGAATCCACTTCATATGAATATTTATCTCTCAAACAAGTATGAATAAGTTGTGTTGTGGTTGCTTAAAACCATATTTTACAATGAGCTCTGCATAGTTTATTAAGTTGACAAATGTATCTCTTATCAGCAGACTTAGCCAACTTGATTGCTTTATCCGAATTCAGTACATTAAATGATCAACCTCGCAATGACATTCTGTAATGTGACTGTAAAATAATTTATATTCATGTCTCAATCTGTACACCCATTGCTGATTTTGAGCAGTCTGGCCATTAGAGGAACCTACTTATTTATCATAAGACCTTCCTGCCCCAGCAAAAAAAAAAAATGTGCGTTGACATTAAAATCGAAAATAAGGACCAATATATCAGGACGCAATAGCTTATGTAGACGATTGTCACAGTCATTAATGCCCACTTTACAGCAGACAAAGATATCAATGCCTCACAGGAAGTAAAACATGTAGGCTCGTTCAGTTCAAATGAGCGA